TGCAATTCAGAGAAGACGGCTCCTTTACAGAGGAATACGGAGGGGAAGATGATCTGTTACAGGGAACTTTTGTTTGAGGGGCGCCACAGACTAGCTTAAAATGTGTCACGCCACAGGTGACATGCCGTAGAAGATGACTGCGTGACGTGACTAATGAGAAAGAATTGAAACTCTTCAGGATTCTCGTGAAATAGTGTTGTGTTACCATCAATCGGTGTGACGGTGTAGCCACTTGCAAAAGTTGTCCTGAGTTGTTCTGTTGGAGGCTTATTCGTATCATCAATTGCACATATAAAGTTTTACGAATCAAATGCATTGAAGAAGAAAAGGTTAAAAAAAGAGTTTAAGTAATCGAAATATTGCTTCGAAAGTTGTAACGTATGAAAACTGAAAGGATGAGTTTGTACCATCCATATTTCTATAGTTAAGTAAATTTTGGGAAATGGATTCGTAGATGAATGAACGTCTTTCTCAAAGTAAAACATTTTACTCTGAGAATATCTTGAAGTAGAAATGAAACGAGTATCGAGCTGTCACAAATTATGAAAAATCGAGAAGTAACACTGCAACTTAAAAGCCCGATGTTAAGAGTAAAGTGGTAGCACGTAAATAAAAGGAGAAAAAAGATTCTCACGTCCTAGTATTAGAGTCCAAAGCCCATTCAGGTGAGTCAGAACTTGCCAAAAAAAATTCTCGTCTATAAGCAGGAACACATGTTTGTTAATGTTAGCACGTTTAAATTGAATTTGAAAAGAATAACCAGGACTGTGTTAATTTTAATTGTACATAGATTCCAATAGGTAAAGAGGTTGTATGCGTTTTATCTATTGTTTACGAAGGGCTAGTTGAATTCATAGTGTAAATTGTCTTAAACAGACAACGTATATCAGACAAAAATATCCAGGAAACTTAGAATGTTGTAGTTCACAAGTGACAATAGTTGGATTATTTAGTTGGCTGATAAACACGGAAAGAAACAAAGTTATGAGAGAAATACAAATAAATAAAGTTTAACATACCACGTAAAACCTTTGTCTTCTTATATGGCTGTTCATTTTTCTTCCTTTATCCTGTTTATAACTTTTAAAAGCGATTGAAAATCCTCTTACAAAATATTCTTCTTTGAAAAAATCCCGCCAGCGCTGTTTTGCCACGTGACCGAGCCTTAAACCAATGACGCGTGATATGATTGGTCAATATTAAGGTAAAAGTTTCCATGTTGACATCGTTAAGATATGAAGATGTACACAGAGACAATTTTTGAAAAGAAAGGAAATAAGCGGCAGAAATTAAATGGCTCTCCTTACGCCACGTTGATCCAGAAATTTCTTGAGCTCTGGTGAGAGGTGCAACACCCGTCTCTACCCGTGCCAGGTCTTATTTGCTGAACGTTGCCTAGTATCCAGTGGGTACTCGGTAATATTCTCGTTGCTCTTGGAGTTTGTTGTGTTTCTTCGAACAAAGACCGACTGTTGAGGGGACAGTAATTGTCTCTTCATAAAGTCATTTTGTGAACGTCTTGTCAATAATTCTCATTTAGAGAAAAGGAAACGGTGAGATTCTTTTGATTAGCTCTTATTTTTTCGTGATCGATGCCAAAACTACGCGACGGCTCTAGTTTGTGTACGGCGAGAAGTGAAACCGCTCGACGTCAAGTCATTCGACCCTTCGTGTGCTCAACTTTCAAGGATTTTCATGCGGAACGTGACTTCTTGCAAGAGAAAATATTCCCTCAGCTAAACAAGATATGTAACGAGCGTGGTACGTCGTTTATTCCCGTTGATTTGCGCTGGAACAAGAGTCAATCCCAGCAAAATAGTGAACATGTTCTCCGCTTATGTTTGGACAGTATCGGACGATGTGCTCCGTTTTTCATTTGCTTGTTGGGAGATAGGTACGGTGTTCATAGAGCTGCGGAGTCTGAAGTGAAGGATCCTGCTACAGAAGAATGGCTGGACAAGAACTTTGAGACGGCTGCTGCTTGTGGATACGAATGGTTACTTGAAGAAGACAACAGGTACAGATCTGATGAGTTATTCTCCCATAGAGTCTCCATACATTTCATTGTAAACCAGTTTAGAGAATTCAGCTTGTAAGTTTGTCAATTCTCCTTACTTTATTGCTGGATGATCTGCTCTGAAGGAGAGTCTGAATATTTATCATTTAAAATACTGTTTCTCTCCATTCGGTTTTAAAAGTAAGAGTGTTAGTAGGGAGATAAAACTGTTGAGCACTTCTATGTCTAAGCCCTCCTACTATGAGAACATGAGATTTAAACCTTGTCTGCGGCAAAAATACTTAATGGGCATTTCTCTATCTGTACTCTTTGCAAAGAGTATAGATTTTATTCTGTATTATGATAAAAGAATTATGAGAGATCATGCAACATACACTTTGTAGTATTCAACTTTGTAGCCAGATAGCTGAAGTCAGATCTCTTTACTTTTAGATATAACAGCATCACTGAGTTGGAAATTGTACAAGCATCCTTCCGCAAGAAATATGATTATGGTTACTTCTATTTCCGCAACCCCACCCATTTGGAGGAAAAGCTTCAGGACATTGATCCCAGCCAGAAAGAAAGTGTTTTGTCAGTTTACAAGCCAGAGAGTGAATATGCTGCAAGGAAACTGA